TTTTTATATGTTACAACTTTGTTATTGTACATGGAAAAAAATAGTATTTTGACATGAAATTACTGTAGGTGGACTGGGCCGTTTCCTAAAATAAATGATGTATACCGCGAAATTACAGAGATTAATCTGAAAGTTTTTAGATATGATATGTATGCTGTTTTACAGTGTTATGGGCATTTATCAACTGTAGTTGAAATTAAAATTAATTAAAATACAGTATATGTATTTTAATTAATTTTGACTCAAAAATCTACTCTGTATTTTTACAGTTATTATATGTAGTTCTGTAATCCAGTTATTTACTGTAAATTTACGGTATCCATTTGGGGTCACTGCTGCAAGTGCTTTTACTGTTTTTTTACTTTTTTTATATATAGCCTGATTTAACAGGAGGGGAGCAGAAGGGAAGCAGTGAGAGACTTAACGTTTTGTCTATTACTTCATCACTTCAAAGGTGTAGGACCTAGTGATGTGTTCAATGACCCTCCGTCATATCAATTACAGCAAGTGTCACAGCTGCTGCTCTGTAATCCCCTGCGTGTGCGCGTCTCTGTGCGTGTGTCAGAGAGTAATAACATCACCATCACTAAATGAGTGAGTCCAAAATTGTGTGAGTGTACAGGTCTACCCTAATGAGTAAACAGTCAGAGTTTTAAAATAAATACATTTGAACTATATTGATCCCATACTTGAATGGAAATCAATGATTTGCTGTGGCAACCCCTGAACAAAGGGACAAAGCCAAAAAGAATAAGAAGAAGAACTATATTGATCCCATACTTGGGAAGTTCTTGTGTTAACAGCAGATTATGTTATTAGCTAACAGCAGATATGCTACCGGGCCGCGGTGGGACACCGTGAAAAAATGTACTTCAGTTTTACTCATTTACATCATTCAAAAAGAATCTAGTCATAACCCCTTTCACCTTTTTCATTAAAAGATAATCTGGCAATGTTTGAAAACAATACATCATTCAGATTGAGATACTGACAGAATACAGTGGATGTTTTATTTTACCAGTCTGCAGTAATGGCAAATACCGACCGACCGGTGCTTGGCACAAAAAAGGGTGGGGACCGCTGGTCTACCTTTTTAATTCCATTCAAATTCAAATCACACATTCCCTTAATCACTCTGGTTATATCGAGACATTTTATTCTGTTTTTGGTTCTTTTAAGACTTTTGTCACCTTCCTTTCACTTGCCAAGGGAGGAATTGTGGTTTTGTATGAGGAAGTCAGGAGTGACAGAGAAGTATGTTAGTTTGGTGCGGGACAGTGGTGAGGCGTGCTGTTGGAAGGACAGAAGACTTCAAGGTGGAGGTGGGACTACTGACAACTGTTCAGAGCAAAGGAGACTGCGGAAGAGAGGTGTAGAATAGAAATTCTTCAGTCTCTTCTTTTACATCCATAACACACACAGACAAAAAAGAGAAGAAAAATCCACCAACACCACTCATTAATTTATCTCTTTTATTTATATGTATTAAATATTGCAATAAGCTGACAATGGATAAAATCATTTGACACGATTGTGTACAAAAAACAGTGAGAGTGAGAGAAACAAAAGAGAATTCCTACATTAAGACACACCAACGGGACATTCTGGCTGATTCAAATGACCATCAGATTTTTTGTTGATCATCTTTAATGATCTGAAGACCTTTCAGATCACAGACTGACCACGTGACTTCTGTCCAATGACTATTCTAAATATGATCAAGAACAAACTTGCCACATTTCTCACAATTTTATTTAGTTGAGATTAGCAAAAGTGTTCAGTATAAAATCATGTATTTCAAACATGTAGTCTAACAAAGTGATTGTAAGGAAGGCTGGGTTTTAATCTCAGTTAACCTGGTCTCTGCAGATTAAATGTAGGAAACACACAAGTTACTATTTATTCAGAGTTTAATTTAAGTTAGGTGAGTACTTTAATTAATTTAATAAAACAAAAAATATTCTCTCTGTAATGCCAACACAATCAACACCTACTATCACTTTGGTGTTAAAATCACCTTGTAATCACTTATGTACAACTGTTCACAAAACAAATATACAGAAATAATAATAAAAAGGAATACAATTATAATTACAGCCAGCATATTCAAATGAAGAGCAGACTACCAGCAGCAGGTTCAAATTATCACCAATACAATTATTACCATGATGATGTTCATTTGTCTTTGCTAAGATGCATTTGTCCAAAATATTAAGTTACAATAAATTACAGCTGAACGAATCGAATGCAGCAATAAATTAGCAACATGCTGCAGCTTTAAATAAGGTTAACAGGTTGCTAAGTTGTGTTTATGATTGTCTCCAAACAAAGGAATTCAACAACATATTTCTGTGTCTTCAGTGGCAAATCCTGATTTTACATTAGATGTGATTCCCAAGCTTTTACTTCGTTGATTTTTGACCTGGCCTCCAGGCTGCTGCTGTGTAAACACAGCTGAGGCAATGACAGCTGTTTCACACCAAAGGAAAAAGTATTGAAGGTACAAAGAGGGTCACAGGGGACGGTGTGACCCTCTTTGTACCTTCAATACTTCACTTGATGATTTGAGTGTTAGATTTAAATTGCATGTCTTTAGTAATGATGAGCAAATGATAGAAACCATTTATTTATCGATTACCATTGAATACGTCTGAAGGGGAACATTAAGTTTGTATCACAGCAGTGGTTCTCAGCCCACATCCAGTACCTTTGAGCCACTTTACTTCAGGTCCTCTATTTCATTTGCATTCACAAGGTATAAAACTATTCCCAAGTTAGAAAAACTGGAATAAAAAATTGGCAGCATTACAGGCCCCAGAGCTTCAGGTCTCAGATCTGCTCCCACAGAGTCTGGAAGAGACACTACAGGAAGATTCAGGTTGTTGATAAGTAGGCTGAGAATAATGTAGGGCATGTAGGACGGAGGTTTGAAGGGGAGAAAATAGACTTAAAGAGAGAGAGTAAAGATAATACAGTGGGAACTGCATGAGGAGGAACAGTAAACTAAAAATGTCAGTAAATACACATCCAATAAATCAGGTTAAAGATTAAAAAAATGAAGCTGAACAGATGGAGTGATGTAGCTTTCATCAGTGGGAAGTGAGTCGTCCTCCTTCAGGCTTTTTTTCACCTCTATCACTTCCGTGCCTCGCAAGGTGTGCATTACAACACGCCCACTTGCTCAAACACTCAAACAGCAGGGTTGACCCCCCCAATTCTTCCATCTCCCTCCGGCTGACATTATAAGATTCAGCTTAAAGCCTGTGGGGAAGCTAAAGGATTGTTGGGTGGTATTGTCAGCTCACTAGAGCAAACTCACTCATCAGCTACTGTATTAGAAACACTTACACTTCTCAGCGCCGTCAGACAATTACTGTAGGTGACAGCTACTCACTGACAGAGCTGTAGGCACATGTGCTATGGTCAGACTACATGTCTGATGCATGGTTATTTTTTTTATCAAAACTAATGTGGCAATATCAAGAAATATCAACATCATCATCAAGGTCTGATTCATCTTAATGAGTGTCCTTATTTTCAAACTTGGAATAAAATACGGTTCTCTAAGTCTCTGTAGTCTGACCTTGGCATACGGCAGTGGTTCTTAATCACGCCCCCTGTCATGCGCCCCTTTGGGCACAGAAATGTTTTCACACCCCCAGACCCACACCCCTCCACCCCACAACCATGCGATTTTAAATACTCTTGAGAACCTGATTACATGTATATTTTTATCTGTACAAACCACTTTATGAGTTGCTGCCACCTAGTGACTGGAGGCTTGTTATTGTTCAAGCAATACAGCAGTGGTACACTCATGTCCAGCGTGCCATATTCCTTTGGAAGCCCCTCACTGCACCCCCCAGGTGGGCCTGCCCCACTATCTGAAAAGTACTGGCATAAGAACAGTTTAAAAGGCTTCAGTTAATGGTGACATAATCAATGGCACAGCGACTAAATGAGCACTGAGTGACACTGTGTCATGACAGTATGAGTTTGGATCCAGAGGCTCCAGTGTCAGTGTCCAAGTACATAACATAACACAGTGGGATTTGTGAACCAGGAGAAAGGCCAGGACTAATTAGCACTGAGACAAACTCCTTAAACTCCTTGCACCTATGCTGGGCAGAAAAGCATTCCGTAACACAACACTTGACTCCTTGAGGTGGACAGGTTACAGCAGCACTCTGAGTTCGATTCCTGTCAGCCCAGAACAGAAATCCAACACTGCATTGGGCACAGGTTCAACAGCAGCCGACAGCTGATGACCAGAATAATGTAGCAGCGCTAATAAATCTCAATTCCTGATGAGGCACGCAGATGGTAGGGTCAGCACTTGGCATCAACAACATGAATCAATAATCCCAGCCTGCCCGGTGTCAACATTCACGGATGCTTGTGGTGGTGTAATGACGTGGGGAATGTTTTCTTGGCACGTTCTGGATCCTTTAATACTAATCATTTATGCTTTCAAATACCACAGCCTACGTGTGAGTGTGTCGTTACTGGACATATGCAACTCCCAAAAGCTACACAATGACGAAGCATGTCAAAAGACATCCACCTGCTTGATGAGAGTGAATTACCAAAAAGACAGGATAGAAGTGGAGCTGAGGATTGTTTCCAGCATCTCTTCTACTATAGAACCCAGACCAAAGAGAAGTTTCTGTCAGAATCAGCCTGCTGTTCAGTTTTTAAATATTTAACTGCAGTAGAATGAGTAGAATTTTCTGGATTGTGTTTTACACACCTTTTGTTTTCACAGATACAAAAGGTGGATTTTTCTCACTGTTGGTTGCCACGGTATAAATAACGCTCAACAAAGCAGGTCACAGCCGTAATAACCTATGTAAACAGTCCTAAAACAAAGGTGTCCAACTGTCAAGAAAAAGGCTAGCTTTAGTTTTTTTTTATGTATATATACCAAACTTTGTCTCATTAGGTCAGTTGTAAAAGACAACTAACACAGGTGAGACCTGGCTGGTGCTTTATCCGGGTGGGGAGGGGGGTGGGGGGGTTCTCTCCTTATTTGATCAAGTAAACAACAATCAGCTATTTTTCTTCACTCAATGGCGTTTACGCTGATTCCTATAATAAAATAAAAAAGGCAGCTGTTAGGCTTCAACTGAAGTATTTATTTTTCCCTCTTTGTATTTCTAAAAATGGTTATTGACATTCAGCAAAGCACCAGAGTGAATACCTGTTCAATACCCAGCCCTACAGAAGATCTGAAGAGCTTCAATCTAAAACCTGATAAAACTCCTACACACAGACGCACACACACACACACCAATTGTGCCAATTCCAGAATTGTTCAGTTAAATGTCATCGTCCTCTGTTCCTGTTTGCTAAGCGTGCAGGGTGATGGTATCTTGGTTTAGAATAAAACTCTTGTACTATACTAATCTAACATTGCAGGCACAGATTATTGAGTGTAAATAATGGAGATTATACTGCATATAAAATAGCTGTCCAGTGTTGTGCTCAGGGAGTGAGTAATCTCTTTGTTTTGGGGGAAGGATGGAGAGGTGTTTTCTTTATATCTGAGCAGACTTTCTTTTTTTGAGGAGTATAATCTAACGTTATTGAAAGACGCTGATTCCGCCATTTGTGCAGCACAACTGGACCTTCTGTATTTTTGTTAAAGTTTAAAAAGCATGCATGAATAATATTTTAAACGTGAAAAACCTGTTGTCTGTTCTTCTTGCTTGAGGTTGACGCGAGACAATGTGACTGTGTCTGGAGTTTTGGCAACACGTGTGTATCTGTGTCTTTGTGCCAAAGTTTTCATTAATAAAAATGACATTAGATGAAAATAATGATTATAAAAAAAGCAAACGCATACATTCCAACATACACACACATACCCATGACTTTGTAAAGGTTTAAATTCCTGTCCTTTGATAAGATGGAGACGCAGAAACATTTGGGTCTTTACTGAAGACGTCGCTGTCTGAAACAGACAGCATGTGTGTGTTAGAGGGGGTGTATGTGTGTGTGTGTTTGGATAAGAGGTTGTGAGTCAGTGTGCACTTTTGTGTCTGTGGGCGTAAACACATCTAAATTGTCAGCATGACACAATGTGGGAGTTCTGATAGACAGGCGAATGCCTTTTACATGCTCACAGACACAATGTGTGTGTGTGTCTGTGTGTGTGTGTGTGTATGTATGTGTGTCACTGAACAAATGGTTGGTTTTCATTGTGAGGTGAAACAAGTGGGACGTTAAGCACATGTGGTTTATGGTTAAGGGAGAGTGAGAGACTAAGCAGCGTGCACAGAGGGAGCAGCAGCACTTTCTTCTTTTCTTAAATCAAGTCATACATTTTGTCTCTGGCGTCATCGATATGGCTGTAAGTGGCCTCAACTGTCTCTCTGCGTCAGAGCCTGCAGTTCGGCAGTGTGCAGAGAATGTTGCAGGAAGACATTTTTACGACTGTAGCTATGCAGAGACAGAGGACCACGAGGGGGCTGTCCCAAACGACTTGCAAATGCTGCAGATGTGGAGGAGAAGAAGGAGGAAGATGAGGATGCTGAGGAGGACGTAGGGGGTGGAGGAGAGGCCTGGTTGGACAATGAGATGCTTAAAGAAGGACTGCCCCTGCTGGCCAGACTGTGGACGCTCGACGACGCACTCGCACCAATTGTACGAGGGATATGGTTGCGGTGATGGTGCTCTCCACCTGCTCTCCTTGTTCCACCTAATAAACTCCATCCACCTCTGCCTGATGTCAAGGACTCACAGGAAGAGGACACCCCCTCTTCCTGCTGTAGGGATGGAATAGCAGCAGAGTTAGCAGCTGAGTTGGAGCATTGATTTGGACTTAGGACTGAGGAACAGGACACTTGAGTGGAGGCTGTAGTGTTGGGTGTAGACATGGCTGAAGCAGCAGAATTAGCAAAGGAGTTTGGAGCCAGAGGTGTAGGTGGGTTTTGGGGTGAGGTCTGTGCCAGGACGCCCAGGCAGTGGCCCTCTTCCCTGGCAGTATTTCTATCAGAGGAAGTGGGCTGACCTTGCAGAGATAAATAGTGAATGGAGTGACGCTGGTTACAGGGGTCCCCTGTGACTGATAATCCCACAGCCCGCGTTGCTCGTCGGGCCCTTAGAGGTAAACTGCTGCTGCTGCCTAGACCTGACCACCTGCCTGGATGACTGGTCTGTGACAGAAGATAGAGGGAAAAAGACAGATTTAGACAGTTGTTTGAGAGGCTTTTTATCTTTCTCAACTTTCATCCACAGAAGGCAAAGTCAATTTAAACTCCATTTAAACAGGGGTGTCAAACTCATTTGGTCCAGGGCCCACATACCGCCTAATTAGATATCAAGTGGGCCAGACCATTACAAACATAACATTTTTATGTAAGTTTTCATGCAAAGATTTCATTTTACAAAACATCATGAACATGAAGTGGACTTTCAAAGATGCTTGTTTCAAAAACGGATTGAACCCCTTTGTAGCCCAGTTTTTGGCCCATGGGCCATATGTTTGGCTTTGCTGATGTAGACTCTCAATCATCCAGGGGCGTTTCATGAGAAGTAGTCGAATAAAAGGCAACTTGCAACTCTTTGTAGTTTTTCTATTCCAGAATGATGATTTTTTTTTTTTTTTTGCTTAAGCTCAAATTCAACTGTAGCCCATGTATTTGTGAAACTTCAGCTTCAGTTCAGATGCCTGGCTGGCATCCAACCAAGCTTTGAAAGCAACTCTAGGTGTTTCCTACAAGCCACCTAACGATAATGTTCCAGTATCAACTTACAGTGGTATGAAAAAGTTTGGCCACACCGATCATCTCTCTCTCCAATATCATTGAAAATCTGGCTGAACTGAAGATATTTTGTAAAGAAGAATGGTCAAAAATACCTTCAACCAGAATCCAGACCCTCATTGGAAGCTATAGGAAGCATTTCGAGGCTGTTATTTCTGCAAAAGGAGGATCTATTAAATATTGATGTAATATTTTTGTTAGGGTGCCCAAATTTATGCACCTGCCTATTTTTGTTTAAGTAATTATTGCATACTTTCTGTAAATCCTATAAACTTCATTTCACTTCTTAAATATCACTGTGTTTGTTTGCTATGTTATATATTTAATTGAAATTGCTGTTCCAAACAAACAATGATACATAAAGGAAAATCTTGAAAATGATCAGGGGTGCCCAAACTTTTCCATACCACTGTAAATACATCATGTCTTAGTTATACTTTAGCAAAAATATTTTTGACATTTTTGACATTTGGACAAATCACAAATATAAAAAAGGTGTGAAACACCATCATCTTCCTGCTACTATTTGTTGTTATGGACCTACAGCTACATAGAGAATTTTATTTCTGCCATACTTACAAATGTTAATGAATCATGATTAAATCTTAAGTAAGACCAATAAAAGATTTGCATTCAAACTCTGACATCACAAAAAAAATCCTTATTTGATAAAATCAAAAGCCTTTCAATTAGCCTGGTAAAAAGAGAAAACAATCAAAGTATATAAGAAGCAAATAGCAGCTTCTGTTTTCACGAAAAAAAATGTATGCGTCAAGAAGGACAGAGAGAAAGAGAGAGAGAGAGGAAGCATCAATCTTGTTGTGTGTCTTCAGTATAGATGCTTAATTGGGTGATATTTGGAGAATGATCTAAACTCCCCTCTCCTTGAATCGCAACCTTAACGTGGTGGAGGGGTTTGAGTATCCGAATGAACCTAGGAGCTATGTTGTCGGGGGCTTAACGCCCCTGGTAGGGTCTCCCAAGGCAAACAGGTCCTAGGCGACGGATCAGACAAATAGCGGTTCAACCCCCCCTTTGTGATGAAGAAAAA